CCGATGATTCTCTTCCACGAATTTGGAGCTACCTGACACAGACTAATTCCCCAATTTCTTAGGTAGTCTGTAATTATAGCCGGAAGGGGAAACCGAAGACCAGACCTCAGTGAGTCGGCAAAAACACCGACACAACCCGGCGGGGGACAAGTTATCCTTTCGCCTGGATATGGAGCAAATAGCTTTACCGCAGACGGAATATAAACTTCTCCTCGAAGCATAACGATATCAGCATCAGTAAGAATACTCGGTTCGCCCCTATACTCATCGATTGGTTCCGGCCATCGACGAGCAGGACGTCTCCAGTAATCCGGAAGCGACATAGCGTCCTCTTCAACTCGCTTGTCTTCATCAATAATATCCCTATGGAGATTAAGGCTCTTTACCAACAGGGGATCCCACCGATAATATTCCAGAGGCAATTCCAAATCCTCATCGGTAAGAATCGGAATATCCGAAATCGTTCGGCTACTGCTATTTTCAGTTTGTGCAGACATCTCTTCGAAATCGACGAAAAATACAGGAACAATTTGGAACAGAATAAGAAAACAAGAAAGATTAGGGCAAACTCTTACCGAAACTTTCGAAGAACTCTGGACTGACGAAAAGATCACAGGAAGAAGCAAGTACACAAGAAAAATACGTAAAGAGAAGGTTGCTAAAAGAACGCAAGAAAAATCGCAAAGATTAAAGGTACAGAAATTTTTTGCGCCTCAAAACCGACTTCAATTTATAGGTTTTGATTTATGACCGTTGGAAGCATCCGGAAACGGCGCGTGTAACGGACGTGTCTTCAAAAGACGTAACGTTACAGTAATTATTATCATACGTGGCCACACCCTGAAACGCCATGTCGTTACAAAATTATATCCGTTGGGCCCATTTAATGCGGAACGTCTTTTAAGAGCCGCCATGTCAGATTAAGATACCGTGAAATATCAAAGTATTCTCATGTCGGTAACAATGCAAAGCAAGTCGGAATGTAGTGAAACAACAAACGACATCAGCAATCATTTAAAAAGCTTCAAATGCTTACTAATGTCGGGGGCCTCACTGTTGATATCGAATCCAGTAATCAGAATTAAGGCAAAAAAGGTCGAAACTGACATCTAAAACCGACGCAAATAAACCGACATCAAGTCAACCGACTACCATAAAGTGAGCATTCCAACAGAAAATAATCATTAGAAGCATCTGATTGGACCAACAAAACAAAAGGCAATCATTGATGTTTCCCGCCGCCTCAAGATGAAGCAGCTCAACATTAAATGCGTCCCTATCCATTTCGAGGAAGAGGACAAAAGTCACCGTACTATAAATAGCGGAATTTATGATAGTACGAGGATCCGATCTTTTCGATCATATTGTACACGAACTTAAGACAACCTCGGTTTTCCTCTTGAAACCGACTTCTGTACTCTTGTGAACATAATCAATAATATCCAGTTTAACCTTTATCTTCATTCCTAAAACATCAACTGTGTTTAATTTTAAGTTGCTAATTCAGAACGGCAACAGAACTCTCCTCATTTTTCTAAAAAAAATCAATATATATATATATATATTAATAATTAAAACTTATTTTATATACTATCTTAATTAAATTAATAATATTATTTATTTATTTAATGAAAAACGTACTAATAATAATTTAATTAATAATATTATTTATTTATTTATTTACTCTTTCGGTCTGTTAATTGTAAATTGATTTTTTGATTTATAAAATCGAGTATTTAATTGGATTGTTACATTTTTTAATATTGATTTTTTCCTTTTTTTTATGTAATCACGCATTTTTAACTTTATTTATTTTCTCAAAAAATATTTATTTGATAAGCTCTAATCAACAAAAATATTGCAATGTGCTGCGAAATTTCAATTTAGATCAATTTTGCAACCAGAAAATTTATATTTATAGATGTTGAACTTAAATTACAAATACATGAAATTTCAAATATTTTTTTTTTCTTTTTTAAAAGTTTGAAGGTAATACGGATACTAAGTTTTTAAAAATTTGATGGTAAACATGTAGATATTATATTTATAGTAAATACATTTTTATATGAAATGAACATTTCAACTTAAACTACAAATTCGTTATTTAACATTAAAAATTGGACCCCCTGAGTAAAATTTCTAGATCCGTCACTGTCTATTTATGTTTAAAAAAGTGGTCTTACTCAAATCAAATTAACTAATAATAGTATCTTGATTTTTAATAATTTACCAATTTAAGGAAAATTCTGAATGAAAATGCGAGACTCCTCTTCACATCAAGAGGAAATATGGCATATTCCACAATAAGTATTTGTCATTATGTTTCACTAGTCCGTCTATATAGAGTTAATATACTTGATTATTGAAGGGTATGAAATTATTTGTTGTAAGACATATAAAAAATGGTAATAAAATATTATCACCACATGCTAAATTTCTTACTAACTACAATCAGTGATTAATTAGTTAAATTTGTAATTATACTCTAGTAGTCTAGTTACTTTTTTTTTTTTTTATTACAATGCCCATTGTTTATGTACGAGCAAACATTATAAGCTGATTCGCCGGCGCCGGTCGGCGGGCACATGGAAAAGTCGCGCGTAATAACCTAAAAGCTGCAACGTGTGATAAATATAAGTTGATAAGCCAAAACCGCTGACCTTTCTTGACCTAAAATTCTTGACTTTTCTAGTAACTACTCTACTCACACGTACGGTCGATTATTAGTCCAATTAAAACTGTGTGCTTAATTAATTATTTAGTCTAACAAATATATTAATGATTAATTAATCCAGATTAGTCACTCTCGCGTTCAATCATGCTTAGGTTCCTCCCTGAGTGGTCGGGAAGGTGTCTCCTGCTTCCTCCACTGCCCATTTTTGTTGCACCGTTCAAAAAAATAATAATTTTTGTATACTTCAGGTTTTTTTTTTATTTTTTTTTTAATAATATGGCAGTGATCTTTCATCACGTAATAATGGAGAGTTGTACAGTTTGTATATATCTATTTTTTATTCAATTTGAAGTATATTCAAAAGAGATGGAGAAGAAGGTGCAACACATTTCTAGAGCAGTTTGCATATGTCCGTTGAAAAAAAAATAAAAATTATTGGTTAATCGTTATTACTACCTAACAACAATTTTAATGTTGCACGTAAATTTTTGGAACATTTTGTTCGTGATAACTCCAAAGTTATGAAAGTAGGACCGGACCAGTTGGATTGGGAATCGGTCCTTGCGGAACAATCGATCAAGGATTAGTTTTTGACCTGGTCAACTATTTTGACTAATGAGCCGTACTACATGCATATTTTATATGTTCATTATCATCGGGCTTTTTATTTGCCTACTTTACGAAACTTTCTATTAGGCTATTTATACACAAGTATATATAATAATTCATGAAATTCTTCATTCATTAGTATACATCTTATGAAGTTAGTTTCTTTTGTGCTTGTTTATGATTTCATTCTTCATATCTGGTTTAGAATAACAGTTGCTACTTATTAAACCATTTAAGGCTCCTATGACCAACATTGAATAATCCTCGAATTATTACACTGAAAGAAAATTATTGTTTCAGACCATAATGTAAAAGCCTACCGACTTGTATATACACAATATTGCTTGCATGATGGTAATAATATTATTTATATGCATACATGCATGTGTGATGTATCTATGTCATTCGCACGTAGATGAGCTTTTTAATATGGAGTAACTTTTAAAGAGAGGGAGATAAATAAAGCACCCTTATCCACTCCATCATATGATTTCGCAATTATTTAATTAATTAATTAATTAGGTCAATAACTGCCTGACAGTGATTAACTAATACTAAGAATGCCGTCCACGTTCACGTGACTAATCGAATCAACCCAATAACTAATTAGTTCTTAATGGCTTGTCTTTAAGTCTTAACCTTCTGCCATAATGCTCCAATCTCACGACTTCAGCAATTAATATTTAGGTATTCAGCGACTTACGGCCCAAATCTGTAATTAGCCCGATAGTCAACAATCTGCAGGCTTCGGGCCCACGTGAACAGTCATCTTCAAAGTTGGATTTAGGCCTTCATCAATCGGGTTATCATAATGGTTCGGATCCGAGTAAACAGTTCGATCTTATTCTCTTTGATCTCTCAGTGTTCTTGCTCGAAAATCATCCTAAACTCTAATTTATTTGAATTTCCTCATTTCGGTGCTAATAATAATTAATCTAATAAGCCTCCCAAAGAATCTCAACAAAAACTTGATGGCATATCGCGCGAGGTTTTCCGTTTCATTTTAATATATTATCTATCATTGTCTTTCGTTATCTGTGTTTCTCATGTAGGCACTGTTGTATCTTCTATGATGTAAATACAATGCTACAGATGCATTGGTGAAGTCAATTTTTCACAGCATTTACCAAACATGATTTTATTTGCGCCTTTTGAGCACCTAACACCATGTCAAAGCAAAAATGTTCTAGCATTTAGCTTCAAAATTAATAAGTGTGTAGATTCGCTCTCTTGCTCAAGGCAGATACAGTCTAATATATTTATTCACTAATAATAAGGCGGGAGATTACACTACAACACAATACATTGTTGGTATACAGTTGAAAGACAATGAGATCTTAACTTGTGGTTGATAGAAACAGGTAAATGTAGTGTGATCACAGTGGACAAGTCCAAAGAGCAAATCTAGTAATTTGTGATGCTAATCTAAAGAACTGTGAATATCATGCTTTTGGAGTAAATTGCAGAGCAAAAGAACAATATGTACCTTTATGATCCTTACTGCAACAAGCAATGCAATAAAACCTGCAAAAGACAAGGTGGTATATTAATGTGGTTACATGGCAAATATAGATTACATATAATGGCCTGTAATCTGGCTCATGTACAGCTCTCACATTTCACAAGATAATCATTACCCCATCCCTTTCGAAGCTTTGTTCCAAACACCAAATTCTACACAATACTCGCAAACTCGCTTTGTTCCAAACACCAAATTCTACACAATACTCGCAAACTCGACATTCACAATATCTGTAAATTTCTCCTTAATGGCTGCTTTAATACCCGACCCAATAGAATCGGGTCCCTCATACTTCACCAGACAATCGCCACCCACAACAGACAATACTTCCACACTCCCACCGAAGTTCTTAATGGCTGGTCTCAAGATGTCCAAATGTCGATTTACTGCCTGCAAGTATTGCAAGCAAGATCGCACGAAATAAACAAACATATTCACAGTTTTTTTGGTATGCGATGTGGTGACTAAGTATAGAAAAGGGGTTAGCATCAACTTGCCTCAACCGTTGTCTCGGTCACTTGCTCGTCATTTACTTGACATATATCCTTTATGGCATCTCCAAACTTTTCCTTGAGGACTCTTTCGATTCCCATTTTCATCGTGGTCGTTGAACTCGGGCAAGATTCACAAGCTCCTGTTCATTGGAAATACACACAATAAACCCCCATACAATCTATAGGATACATAGAACTAAGGCAAATTTCAATGTAAGAAAGCTAAAATTCAATAGACACAATTTCAATTTATGATCAATTCCTTTTTATTTCAAACCTTATGATCCATGGAATAATCACATGGACCCAATACCAACCCATTTCCTTATCAATTGATTATTGAAATTCTCTGCAAGTACAAATGCCTAAAACTCTGCATACGAAAAAATCCACCCAGCTCTTTTGGTATGATAATATATACATATATATATATATATATATATATATATATATGTATGAGCGCGTGATAATTCGGTGTACCTTGGAGCTTGAGCGAAACTACACCGTCTTCAACGGACACAACGTCGACGTTCCCGCCGTCGGCGATGAGGTAAGGCCGGACGTTTTCGAGAACCTTATCTACGTTCTCTGCAGTAAGCTCGAACTGGCCGGCGGAGTACAATCCGGGAGCTGATGCTTTCACTGCAATAAATCTCCGGTGATTGACCTTCAATCCCTTGTAATTTAAGGCTAAAAATGATCGAGATTTGGGGATTTCGATCTTTAGCAATCTCGATGATGGTATAAGGGACAACGCGAAGATTGAGGTAGCCGCCATGGATGCCATCGTTCTCTCGCCTCTAGCTCGGCCGGTCGTGGCTCTCGTGGGATAATAAAAAAAGCCTCGAGGGGTCACAGTGCAAATGCAGATGGTTCCAATTTGAACTGGAGTCTGGATAAATAAATAAATAGGGTTAATTCGATCCTACCAACAACGGTGTTACGGTAGTGCCCTCACTTTCTATTCTAGCAACACGTGTCCTTTTTTATTTCTCCTTTTTTTTTAAAACGAAAAGCAAACTATGGCTAAGACTTAGGC